CGCTGTGCACAGCTGTCCATCGGTGGCTCCTCCGTCCTCTGGGGACAGCGCTTCAGGCCCTCACCACAGCAGCGGGGAAGGGTGCAGCCCTGGTAACAGTGGCCTGGGGGAAACCATGAGGAGGGCATGCAGGATGCCGTGGTGAGAACTGAGTGTGCGTGTCTGAGTGTGAGAATATGTGTGACTGCGTGTGCACACATGTCAGAGCACGCATGTCTGTGTGGAAATGTACATGGCACAGTGTCCACGCATGTGTGTGCAGATACCCAAGCACCCTTCCATCTCATCTTGAGTGGCCCCTTCAGCCTCAGTTTCCTCATTCTGTAGAACAGACTGAAGACTGAGCAGCTCACTGAGACTCTCAGCTGGCGCGAGAGCTCGTGAGCCGTGGTGTGGCTCACACTTTGTATGTAGGACCCCCGTGGTCTGGCTGGGTGGGGTGGCTGGCGGCCTGTGGCCTGGCTGGCTTTGTGGACTGCTCCTGACCAGCCTGGTCCTTTTGTGGATAGGCAAAGGAGACGCCATGAACCAGGCTGTGGAAGGTGAGCTGAGCAGTGATGCCCGGCTGGAAATTGCCCTGCCTGGGTTGCCCCCGAGGGCAGGTGCACCTCAGGTGCAGCCAGAGCCCCAGGAGGAGCGCAGAGCCCACGTCGAACACATGTGTCTCTGTGAATGGCACCGCAGGTAGCTGGCCGGGCAATGGCCCTTCCTGCCTCTGGCTGCTGGTCGTTGGACACCAGCCTCCAGATTACCCTCTCATTCTCAGGCCTCTGCCTGAGCCCAGGGCTGTGGCTTCTGCAGGCCCCACACCCTTCAGCTCCGCGGGACCCCAGTTGGTCTGTCTGCCTGCTGCTCTTCCTGGCCTTGGAGCTGCCCTCTCCCTGCTCAGAGTATGGGCTCAGGGCCCTGTGAACCTTCACCCTGAGAAGAGTCACGGTAGAGCTGGGCATCGAGGGTCTGGAGAGGTCAGAGCAGGAGTTCCCTGCCCCTCAGGAGTGCTGGGCACTCTCCAGGCCTGGACAGGAAGGGACGTCACTAGCAGGCAGGGAGCTGTTGGCTGCTGGCAGATCCTGACCCTTCCTTCCCTGGCCTTTCTCGGGCGGGAGGGGGTGCACATGGCAGGAGAAGGGGCAGGGGTGAGGCCCCATGGGACGCCATCTCCTCCCTTCTGTTTGACGCCACATCTTGATTAGTGATGCAGAACTTAGTAGAAATGCAAATCCTGCCAATGGTTAGACTGCCTTGAGTTGGTATCAGTCTTACATTTGTTGCTTAAAACCTCAAAATGAGCTCGTGGTGCATGCCTGAAATCCTAGCTACTTGGTAGAAGAGACTGGGAGACTCACAGTTCAGGCCAGTCTGGGTAAAAAAAGACATAATTTCAACAGAAAGCATAACTGGGCCTGGGGTGGGTGTCCATCATCCCAGATACAACAGGCAGTGTAATTGGGGGACTGCAGTCCAGGCTGACCTGGGCAAAAGGTTCTCGAGACCCTGGATGCAGTTCAGGGTCTTGCGTCAGGCCAAGGGTGCTGTCACCCCTCCTGGACCCTGCTACTGCCCAGAGCTCAGGGCTGGGCAGGGGGCTTCTGGCCCAGGAACCGCTCCTGATTGGAATCAGGGCTGGGCAGGGGGGCTTCTGGCTCAGGAACCACTCCTGATTGGATGAACCTGGGAAGAGGGCAGGCCTCAACTCTGAGGTGCTTGTCACAGGAGCCCACCTGGCGGCGGGAAAAGTGATGGCCTTGCTTGGAGGCTCAGAACCAACTCAAGTACTGTGACCCAGGGCAGGTGACGTGACAGATGGCACTCTGTGATGGACAGGGCTACTCGATGGACAGGAGCTATGTGATAGACAGGCGCTATGTGATAGACAGGCGCTATGTGATAGACAGGGCTACTCGATGGACAGACGCTATGTGATGGACAGGGCTACGTGATGGACAGGCGCCACGTGATGGACAGGGCTACTTGATGGGCAGGAGCTACGTGATGGACAGGCACTACATGATGGACAGGCGCTACGATAGACAGGGCTACTTGATGGGCAGGGCTACTTGATGGACAGGAGCTACGTGATGGACAGGCGCTATGTGGTGGACAGTTGCTATGCGATGGACAGGCACTATGCGATGGACAGGCGCTACGTCATGGACAGGGGCTACGTCATGGACAGGGGCTACGTCATGGACAGGCGCTACGTGATGGACAGGCGCTACGTGATGGACAGGGGCTACGTGATAGACAGACACTACATGATGGACAGGGGCTACGTGATGGACAGGCGCTACGTCATGGACAGGCGCTACATGATGGACAGGCGCTACGTGATGGACAGGGGCTACGTGATAGACAGACACTACATGATGGACAGGGGCTATGTGATGGACAGGCGCTACGTGATGGACAGGCGCTACGTGATGGACAGGGGCTACGTGATGGACAGGCGCTACTCAATGGACAGGCACTACGTGATGGACAGAAGCTGTGTGATGGACAGGCACTACGTGATAGACAGGCACTACATGATGGACAGGCGCTACGTGATGGACAGGGGCTACGTGATGGACAGGGGCTACGTCATGGACAGGCACTACGTGATGGACAGGGGCTACTCAATGGACAGGCGCTACTCATTGGACAGGAGCTACTCGATGGACAGAAGCTGTGTGATGGACAGAAGCTATGTGGACAGGTGCTACACTGTAGACAGGCCTGGTGCAGCCCCTTCCTTCCCCAGATGGAATGGAGAATTCTCTGAAGCTGTGTGAAGAGGAAGGACAACAGGGTGGGAAGCATGCAGCCAGAGACTTCCTAGCAGATGCATGTGCCAAAGCCCAGCCATGCTGGCCTCCCTGCCAGCCTCTGCACTCTGCCCCTGAAGGGTACCTGGTAAAGACACCTAAGTGTATCGAGACCCAGGCTCCCGCAACCCTTGTGGCACCAGCTGGGGCAGCCCCTGGGCCTCACTCATGGTGGGCAGGCTTGCTGAGCCATCTTGGAGGACTGGGGTGACCCAGGTGTCCCATAGGCCTCTGAGAAGCCTTGAGCTCTGCATACTGATGAGTGGCCCTGTGGGATGGGAGGCAGGACCCCTCCCCCTGCCCTATGACACCCTCAACCCTGATAAGTTCCAGGAATTGTCCTTTGCCATCAAGTTAACGCCCACTGCATGCTGGTTTAGAGCATTGAGAGTAATAGGGAGCCAGAGTAGACTTAAGAGTAAAGGGGTGTGCTTTGTCTACTACAGTCTACAGGAGGTGAGGCACATGGGACTAGGGATCTGGGGACCTGGGAGGAGGGGCGGGATGGATGCATAGATGGATGGTGGATAGGTGGATGAGTTGATGGGTGGATGAATGGATGGATAGATGGGTGGGTGGGTAGGTGGGTGGGTGGATAGATGGATGCATGGCTGGCTGGGTGGGTGGGTGGGTGGGTGTGTGAATGGGTGGGTTGGTGGATGGGTGGGTGGATAGATGTATGGATGGACAGATGGCTAGATGGATGCATAGGTGGATGGATGGATGGATAGGTGAATGGATAGATGATGGATGGATGGATGGATGGATGGATGGATGGATAGATGGATAGATGAATGGGTTGATGGGTTAGGTGGGTAGATGGGTGGGTGGATAGGTAGATGGGTGGGTGGTTAGATGGATGGATGGATGCTTGCATGCATGCATGGTTGAGTGAAAGGATGAATGAGTGGGTGAGTGGATAGATGCATGGATGAGTGACTGGATGGATGGGTGGGTCAGTGTGTGGGTGAATAGATATGGATGGATAGGATAGATGAGTGGATGGGTAGATGGATGGATGGATAGATGGATGGATGGATGGATGGTTGGATGGTTGGATGGATGAGTGGAAGTGTGGGTGAGTGGATGGGTTGGTGGGTGGGTGGGTGGATGGATGAGTGGAAGGATGGATGGATGAGTGAGTGGATGGGTGGGTGGGTGGATGGATAGATGAGTGAGTGGATGGTTGGATGAGTGGAAGAATGGATGAGTTGGTGGATGGGTGGGTGGGTGGATGGGTGGGTGGATAGATGTATGTTTGTATGGATGGATGGGTAGATGGATGGATGGGTAGGTGGATGGGTGAATGGGTGGATGGATGGATGGATGAGTGGAAGAATGGATGAGTGGGTGGATGGGTGGGTGGATAGATGTATGTTTGTATGGATGGATGGGTGGATGGGTGGATAGATGGGTGAATGGATGGATGGATGGATAGATAGATGGGTGAATGGGTGAATGGATAGATGGATGAGTGGAAGGATGGATGGATGAGTGGAAGGATGGATGAGGGGGTAGATGTATGTTTGTATGTATGGATGGGTGGATGGATGGATGGGTGAATGGATGGATGGATGGATGATGGATGGATAGATGGATGGGTGAATGGGTGAATGATAGATGGATAGATAGATGAGTGGAAGGATGGATGATGGGGTGGATGGATGGGTGTGTGGATGCGTGAATGGGTGGATAGCTTCAAATCTGAGCAGCAAGGAAGGAAATCCCCTCTTCCCTCCTCTCCTCTGTCCAGTGTTTTCATGCCTTGGAGGCAACAGTTGCAGCAAGCATTGGAATTGCAACAATCACTTTTTAAAGTTCCAGTTTGACCACAGAACAGTGGCTGGAGGCCAGGACTTCCAGCATTCTCCACTGGGGCTGGGCTGAGGCCTCCGTGGGCCCTGGCCTGAAGGCCTGCGCCCACACACTCAGCAGTTTGGACATACAGGAGCTCCTCTGGCTGCTCCTCGGAATGCCCTGCCCTGTGGATGTCTTGGAAAAATGGGAGGGAAGGAGTTAAGCGGAACGTGGAGGTCAGCGGGTCACCTTGGCTCTCAGGACTGGCCCTTCTGCGGGAGTGGAAAAGTAGCAGAAAGCTGCTGGGAGTAAGCAGAGAACTGAGAGAGGGGGTGGGCGGGCTCTGCCCGCAGGCCCCGCCTCCTGGCCCACCGGGCAGCTGCTGCGCTCACAGCCCTGATGGCTCCCGACCCCAGCGGACGCCTCTGCCTGCTGCTGCCAACGCCGCTGCTGCTGCTGCTGCTGCTGCTGCTGCCCTGCCTTCCGTCTGCCGGGGCCAACCTGCTGAGTCTGGAATGGCTGTGGTCCAGTAAGCTCTCCGACTCCCCTGCCACCCTGGTCCCCCGCCCCACACACGCGGGCCCCCGGCATGACCCCACAGAGCCAGCACCGCTCTCTGCCAGCCCAGAGCTGCCTAGGGAACACCAAGGGCCTGGCCGGCCTGGGCCCTCCGCCCCCCCCACGGCCCCGGCCACCCCGGCCGCGAGCCCTGACACGAAGGAGGAGAACATTGCTGGCGTCGGAGCCAAGATCTTGAATGTCGCTGAGGGCATCCGGAGCTTCGTCCAGCTGTGGGATGATGCCACTCCTACCCCGAACTCGGCTGTGGCGGACCCCCCCACCCACACGGGGCTCTCCAGCAACCCCCAGGAGAGCAGGACTATTCTCTGGCCAAGCAGTGGAGCTCTGGGCTCACCGGACACCCAGAGCCCCGAGGCCAGCACCCTGGCTGCGCCCACCCAGCCATCTCCCTCTTGGAGCAGGACCCAGGCACCCCAGTGGGGTTCCACAGCACCGCCGGTACCCACAGGTAGAGCTCCTCTCTCCTCCATACCAGGCAGAGCACCCGCCTGGCAGCCTGGGCACCTGGACAGGGGAAGACGCTTGCCGGTGGCGGCCGGTCCCAGCCCGCGGCACGGATGCCCCGAAGGACCCGTGGCGCCCATGCTCACGCCACTTCTGCTTCCGCTGGTGGTGGGTCCCCTGGCCACGCGCAGCGCCTCCTCCGCGCCTCCCTCTGCCCCCTCCGCCCGCCTGGCTCAGGTGGCAGCGCCAGCACCGTGTGGAGACCGTGGTGCTTGGTTCTCCCACGGGGCTGGTTCTCCGGTGCCTGGTCTCGCTAATAACGCAGCCTTGCTGGGGGCTGCCCCACAGGCCCCTGCCGGCCGCTGCCTGCCCCTGCCGCCCGGCCTTCCTGTCTGCAGCCATCTGGGGTTCGGGCACTCCTGGCTGCCCAACCTCCTCCACCACAAGAGCAGCGAGGAGGTGCGAGCTGCCGCGCGGGCGTGGACGGGCCTCCTCCGCACGCACTGCCACCCCTTCCTTGCCTGGTTCTTCTGCTTGCTGCTGGCCCCTCCATGCGGCCCGGGCCCGGGCCCGCCACCCGCCCTGCCACCCTGCCGCCAGTTCTGCAAGGTGCTGGAGGATGCCTGCTGGAGCGGCCTGGAGGGGGCCGGGCTGCCCATCCCCTGCGCCTCACTCCCTGACCAAGAGGAAGGGTACTGTGTGTTCATTGGGCCAGCTGCAGGTAACTGGCTGGCCACTGCCCCTCCTCCCTTTTGCCTTGCCAGATGGAATCAGCCAGGGCTGACTTGACCCCCGGCCCTTCTCTACCCCTCCAGAGCCTGCGGGGGAGGGGAGGCAGGGAGGGGCAGGCGTAGCCCCTGACTGGGCTCTGGGGTGGGATGGAAGCTGGGCCTGACCCAGGCCTGGGCAGGCAGCCGGTGTCCGGGGTGTCGCCTGCTCCTGGTGATCTCCACTGTGTGTTTGCTCAGTCCTCACAGGAGCTCTCCTGTGTCCATTTTGTCCTGTCACAGGACATAGCCACATCCCTGTTCTCCGACACAGGACGTAGCCTTGTGTCCTGGGTTACATCTTCGGTCACTGACAGGAAGCTGACAGGTGGAGCCCTGATGTGTGCCTGCGGGGGCTGTCATTTCTGACAGACCCGCCTCCTCCTGCGCCCAGCGGGTTAGGCTGCACATCTCCAGTTCTGTGGCTCCAGCCAGCCACGGGGCGGGTGCAGGCCTGGGCCCCACGATGCACCCACGGCCTTGCCATGGGGGGGACCTGGCCTGTACCCCGTCACCCTTGCTGCTTGGGGAGAGGTGAACAGCAGCAGGGACAGGCTGGTTCTGAGCACCTCCAGAGCGGAGGCAGTGGAGGCGGGTCTGGCAGCTCCTCCCTTCTGGGCCTCTGAGCCGGGCTCCCCTGCCAGCCCTCGGCGCGGCTTTGGCGGAAGGCCTTGGCTGTCTGTCCCCACCTCGTGCAGAGCTGGCCCTGACCCTCGGCCCTCAGGCGCGAGCCGGCTCTGTGGAACCCAGGTCGGGCGTCTGCAGTCGACGTGATGCTGCCCTGCTGACCCCCAGCAAGCCTGGCTACTGCCAGGGGTTCTTCCCCACAAAGGCCCTGGTGGAGGCCTGGGGTGAGGAGGGAGGGCAATGCCGGCCCTGGGAAGGACATGGGAGCCGTGAGGATGGCACAGGGTGGCCGCACCCCAGCGAGTAGAGATGAGCAGGGCGGGGTGTGGGGGCAGGCTGGGGGCAGGGGCTCTGGCTGGAGCCTGGGCGGTCACTTGCCCTTCATCTGGAGGGTGGCAGGAGCAGCAGCGGGCAGCTGTGTCCCCCCCCATCCCACAGCCGCTGTGCCTGGCAGCTCAGAGTGTGCTGCTCCGGCAGGCTTGGGGAGGCCCTGTGTCCCCTGCGGGGGCGTGGCCACACAGGGGCACCCGACCTCCCTGAGCCTTGGGGGCCTCGGTGGCACATTGGAGGAGACAGTGGAGGCCCCTTTGGGCTCATCGCTGTGACATCCCACAGGTGCCACCTCGCCCTGTGCCCATGACCCCCCGGGGACCCCCTCTCGCGGCCCCTGCCCCATGCCTATGACCCCTGGGGACCCCCCCCAAGACCCCCGCCCTATGCCCAGCCTCATCCCCCATCCCCCGCCCTACGCCCAGCCTCATCCCCCGTGACCCCTGAGACCCCCGCCCTGTGCCCAGCCTCACCCCGCCCTGGCAGAGCGCAGCAGTGCTCACTACAGGTTTGCATCTTGCTGCTTTAATTGGAGTAGGACTTACGGAATGTTACTGTCCTTGACAACGCTTCAGTTAACCTGAGGTTTCTGTTTAACTTTGATTCAGGAAGCGGGCAAGACCGCCTCCGTGGAAAAGTACCTGAACACTTATCTCTCCCTCCTGGCAATCTGCAAATATTTGTTGTATGGTGCTGACAGAGCTTCCACATGCCACCAGTCCCTCTGAGGTGTACCAGCCCACCTGCGCTGCCCGCTGCCCGGGGCATCCACCCCCACGGCCTCCCTGGGGCTCAGGGGTCCTGGGTGGTGGTCTGGGAGCCCGTGGCAAGTGTGATTTTATGTACAAACGCATTGCGCATGTGACCACAGTCCAGTGCACTCCGTGTGGATGTGTGAGGTCAGTCCCAGGGCGGCTTGTGAGGTGCTGACGGCCGCTCCCTGTGCTCTGTGGGGTTGGTCCTCTGCAGCTCCATGCTCTGCCCTCCAAGTTCAGCTTGTTCAGATCGCACAGATACGCGAGGGCCTGCGGTGTTGGTCTCTGAGCCTGGTTTCTTAACATCCACCAGGCTCATCTGTGTCAAAGAGACAAGATTCCCATCGTCTGTAACTGTGTCTGCAACTCCTCCCCAGCTTCCCAGGATCCCCTGGGTTCAATCCACGGCGTGGCTGCAGTGAACATGTGTGCCTGTCTGTGTGTGTGTCTGTGAGCCTGTGTGTGTGTGCCTGTCTCTGTGTGTGTAGTTGTGTGGATATCAATATAAAACACTTCTTTTCGGCCTTTTCATTTCCTTCTAGTTTGTTCTTTTGTCTGTGAGTCCTTCGTTTTGTCTGTTCAGACAGAACAGCAATCCCCGTGGTGTGGGCTGGCCTCCTAGGAGTGTGCACTTTGGTCCCCTAGCTCTGAGTGACCCTGCACACACTTCCATTTGCTCACTGGAGAGTCAACTCAAGTCCTTTGCCCATTTTTAATTAGGTCATTTGCTTTTTGATTGAACCTAAAGAATTCTTTTAAATTCCGGACATTAATTCCCTCTCAGCACCATGATTCACAGACATTTGCTCCCATTCTGGGGCTGCCTTTTACTCTGTTGTCTTGATGCAATGACGTTTTAAAACTCCATGAAGCCAGTTTTCCTACTGTTTCTCTACCGCCTGTGGTGTCATAGCCAACCTTACTTGTCTTAAATTGTTTTTTATTAGTTTTGAGTAGTTGTGTAGAGGGATTTCAATCCAACAGACCTGACTTCTGTTTCCTTCCGCTCACATTCAGGTCTTTGACCATTGGAGTTAAGTTGTTATGTATGGTACTAAGTCTTTAGGTCTCTGGTAGTATGTGGTGCTGTTGTTAGATCTCTGGTAGGATGTGGTGTTAAGTCTTTAGGTCTCTGGTAGTATGTGGTGCTAAATCTGGAAGTATGTGGTGTTAAGTCTTTAGGTCTCTGGCAGTATGTGGTGTTGTCTTTAGGTCTCTGGCAGTATGTGGTGATAAATCTTTAGGTCTCTGGCAGTATGTGGCGCTGTCTTTAGATGTCTGGCAGTATGTGGTGTTGTCTTTAGGTCTCTGGCAGTATGTGGTGCTGTCTTTAGGTCTCTGGCAGTATGTGGTGTTGTCTTTAGGTCTCTGGAAGTATGTGGTGTTAAGTCTTTAGGTCTCTGGTAGTATGTGGTGGTGTCTTTAGATGTCTGGCAGTATGTGGTGTTAAGTCTTTAGGTCTCTGGCAGTATGTGGTGCTGTCTTTAGATGTCTGGCAGTATGTGGTGTTGTCTTTAGGTCTCTGGCAGTATGTGGTGCTGTCTTTAGGTCTCTGGCAGTATGTGGTGCTGTCTTTAGATGTCTGGCAGTATGTGGTGTTGTCTTTAGGTCTCTGGCAGTATGTGGTGCTAAGTCTTTAGGTCTCTGGTAGTATGTGGTGGCATGTCAGAGCCTACCTCTTTCTTCAGCACTGGGACACCCAGTTATCTCAGCATCATTGGTGTGTGCTGACTTTGTTGGCTGTCACCCGATAAGCCCCTGTCCCAGAAGTCCTGCGTTCACTGATCCCCATCTTTGGGGCTATCTCTGCAGCTGACATAAAAGTGGTAACTTCCTAGTGCATGAGGAGATGCGACATGACCCTTGAAGTAGAACATTCCAGGAAGGCAGGTGAAAGGCCCAGGGTGGCCTCCTGCCAGAATGGTGCTTGTGTGATCTGTGACGTTGCCGGAGCCAGAGAGAATACCCAGGGACTCCTAAGGCTTGGGGCGTTTAGCCAGCCCTGAAGGAACACTTGCTAATTCCTCATTACCTAGAGCCTGCAGTGCATGTGCAGGAGCCACAGCAAACTGTCTCCTGGCTGGAAACAAGCTTGCCTTCCTGCTGAGCCACACATCCAACACAGATTGTGGCACCAATTGGAGCTGCCGGTGGCTAACGCCTGCAATCCTAGCTACTGAGGAGGCTGAGATCTAAGGATCATGGTTCAAAGCCAGCCTGGGCAGGAAAGTCTGTGAGACTCTTATCTCCAATAAACCAACAGAAAACTGAAAGTAGCGCTGTGGCTCAAGTGGTAGAGTGTTCGCCACTTCAACTCGCTGAAGAGCTGAGGGACAGCACCCAGGCCCCGAGTTCAAGCCCTATTACCACCACCAACAACAAAGTGGCTGCCTGGACTGGAGGTAGAGCCCCAGCAGGACAGGACCTTGCTATATAGACCAGACTGGCCTCAAACTTCAGACGCTTTTGTCTTAGCCTCCCAAGCTCTGGGATTGCAGGCATGTGCCGTTGTGCCTAGCTCTGTATATCTGTCTGTATCCAGTGCCACACTGCATTGATGATGGCAGTTTTCTAGGATGTTTGGAAGCTGAGAATTGTGACCCCTCCAGCTTTGTTCTTTTTTCAGATTGTTTTGGTTGTTTGAGGTTCCTTGAGATTGTGCATGAGTTCCAGGATGTGCTTCTCTATCTTGGCAAAAACTCTTTGCCACTTTGTCAGGTCTGCTTTGGGGGTGAGTTTTCCTCTCTCAGCATTCTTGATTCTTGGTTGAATGGATGATCATTTTCCTTTCCACCCTTTGAAGATGTTGGTCACGGCCTTCTGGCCTCCAAAGATTCAGGTCAGGAATCCACCAAGATGGCGGTGCGGTGCGGTCCTTGTGTGTGACCAGCTGCTTGCACCGCCGCCTTGCAGTGCCTCCTCTCATCTGACCACAGTGTGCTTTTCATTCTTTAGGGTGTCCTTGTGTGTGTGTGTGTGTGTGTGTGTGTGTGTGTGTGTCCCTGACACCTCCCAGGTGTCCCCAGGAGGAGGCCTGCTGGCCCCAAAGTTGTGCCTCTCCATGCCCCCCCCCCGCCTGCCCGCTTCCCTTTCTGCTTTGTCTTCATCTCGGGTGACTCTGTCACATCCTGCCATCCCCTGCCGCACGGTGCCTGCCGTGGCCGGTGCCCTGTGGGGGCCTGGCCTGGGTCTGCAGCCCGGGCTGCGTTCTGCCCACAGGAAGGTACTACCTGTCTCCTCGGGGGACCGCCACCCTCAGACCTCATTGGGCATCACTCTAGGGCATCACTGACCCCGAGCAGGACGGTCCCAGGCAGGGTGGATGGGGGTAGGTTGTCATGCGGCGACAGGGGCAGTGCCAGGCCTCCATCAGGACAGGTGTCTCCTGCTCAGGATGGTTTTAGTCTTTGTGTCAGGGTGTGCTGTGACCCTAGAGATGTTCGTTCTGCAAGTGTTTTCCTTCTGGCATGGGGGGTGACGGTGCTGCTGCCCAGGCTGTTCTCTGTCATTACTTCTGAGGGACAAATCAGGACTGTGGAGTTTACCATGAACACTGCTTAGGGAAAGGGGGACTGAGCGGGGACCCCAGGCTTTGTCATTGCCAACACTCCCCCCTCCCCCCTGCAGTCTGGGACCTGGTGGCCAGGGGCACACCTGCGGGCCCTGGCACGCTGTCCCCGCGTCCCCCCACACTGTCACCCTGACCTCTGCCCCGCTGGCGTCCTGTCGCAATGCTTGCTGTGGAACTGTTTGCCTGATGTTTCCCCTTGGCCTGTCAAGGCTGTTTTTTGCCGTTTGCTCTTTGCCCCCTGCCTTACGTGGCCCCTGCTTGCCTCGTACCCCACAGGACAGCTCCAGTGCCTTCTGACTGCTAACACACGTGGCCTACCCCACCCTGTCATCTTGTGGATTTTAGTGAGTGGTGAATGTTGTGGTTTCTGCCTCTTGCTTCCGTGAGGATCCTGAACATGTGTGTGTCTTAGAACGGAGGCTGTGGGTCTCCCCTGGAGGTGTCACTGAGCCTCCCACCCTGACGTCCTGCACTATGCCTGGACGGAACCAGACAGACGGGGGGGTTAAGACCACGGAGCCCTCCTCAGGCTGAGTCGGGACTCGGGCCCCAGTGCGTCCTACATCTCAGCCCGCTGCCGGGCAGGCGGTATTGTGCTAGGAAGTCTGCTGTGCTCTTGCTCCTGGACTCCTGTGTGTGGTGACACTGGGCTCGGGGTGAGTCCAGCACTGGGGGCTGCCCTGCCCATGTGCACACAGAGTTCTGAGCAGACCCCAGGAACGGGAAATGCTGTGGGACTGCCATGATTCCCTATGGGTTTCTCTAGAAGGTCGCACAGAAGTTGTTTGGCGCAGTCCAGTGTCTCAGCCCCGCCTTCTTCTCCTATGCTGAATTAAAAGTTTCTGGGCCACTTTGGGCATGCCCCCGGAGGCCGGAAGCAGGATGATGGCTCAGGAGCTAGGCCTAACAGTGGAGAGACCTCCCTGCAGGAGGGGAGACAGGCAAGGGCAAGCCCCCAGCAACCCTGCTGCGTGTGGTTACAGCTGGGTGGGCTGCAGGCTGTGTCTCTGAGCCATGGTCCTGGGAGCCGCTGTGTGGGGTGCTGAGAGCTCGGGTGTGGCCCCGTAGGAGACCTCCCCACCCACTTGGGGGCCTTTTCCCCAGTGGGGGTCAGGAGTCTGGCTGGGCTGCAGGTCTTGTCCCTGGAGGTGTCCGGTGGCAGCAGGTGTGTCCTCCTATTGCTGGGTGTTTGTGCCTTCTCTTCCCAGGGTCCCTGAGGTAGGGCCTTTTTGTGACATTTGCCATAATCGAGTATTTTCTGGGGGAGCCCTGGCACAGGCTGGGACACACGCCTGCCCTCAGTGCCACGCTTGGGCCCTGGCTGGGTGAGGATGAGGCTAGTAGTGAAGGCCGTGCTTCCAGAAGGGAATAGACTACGTCCCTGACTGCCTCAGGGTAGCCCCCCCACACACACACAGGGCTGTGCCCCGCAGGGAAGGGCTGTGTTCTCAGCTGTTTGGGGGCACAGGGGAGGGCCTGCTGACCGGGCCTCTCTCCACCATGGGGCAATGCTGGCTGCAGTTAAAGGGGCTTCCAGAGCCTCCAGGGAGGGAGGGTGGTGGGATCCTGGGTCTGGGGACAGCCAGAAGGGCTCCGTGGGCAGAGAGGCTGTCCTCCTCCCAGAAAGGCCTCCCTGGTGCAGGCTTTCACCCCTGAGAGAGCATTTGGCCTCCCATCCAAGAGCACGGGGCCTGCACCCAAGCACGGGAGGCCGTGACCTGCTCCTCTCAGTACCTCAACCAGCGGGCAGATCAAGGATCTTAGGGCCCTAGCTTCAGAGGCAAAGGGAAGTTCCTGGAAAAGAAATGGGAGCCGCACCCCCGAGGATCTGGGGCCGCTGTGTAACGCTGGCGTCTTCCAGCCCGGGCAGCAGCAGCTGCTGCATCCTGAGTTAAGAGGGACCTGGGCCCTGCTGGGTCCCACCAAGGCCTGGCCCACGTCGCGGCCAGCTGCACACAGGACCCACAGCAAGCAGCATGAGGGGACCGCAGAGAGCCCCGCCACCAGGCCCGGCGCCCATGCTGCCACATGGCTGTGCTGCTGCGGCCCTGGAGGATACTGTGTATGGCAGTGTCCCTTCTGGTTAGTGTTCTTTGACACAGCCTGACTTGTAAAGTCAGGGCTCAGCATTTCTTCCCTCTCCTCTGTCCTGAGAGCCTATCTGCCTGGATCCACAGTGCAGACCTGACATTTGATGCAGTGCATGTGCACACACGGCACACATGCTGATCACTCCTGGTATGTGCACACATGCATTCACACACTGGCCCCTCCTGGTGTGTGCACACATGCGTTCACATGCTGGCCCCTTCAGCTTTTGCAGTCTCTCAGGACACCTGCAGATTGCTGCCCCTTCCAAGGGAGAGTTCTTGACACAGGCCTGCCACAGCCCAGGGTCAACTCCCATGGGACTGTCAGATCTGGTTTTTTGTTTTTTGTTTTGGGTCCTGTCGTGGGGCCTGAACTCTGGGCCTGGGCGCTGTCCCTCAGCTCTTCAGATCAAGGCTAGCACTCTCACTTGAGTCACAACACCACTTCCAGCTTTTTTCTTTTTTGCTTATGTGATGCTGAGGAATCGAACCCAGGGCCTCAAGCAGGCAAGGCAAGTGCTCTACCACTGAGCCACCTTCCCAGCCCCTGTCAGACCTGTTGTGAGAAGTCCAGACTCAGACTTTGGGCATGGGGAAGAGGAGGCCTGAGAAAGGCCTGGAGCAGGCCTGGGCCAGGCTATGGCACAGGGGCGTGTGTGTTAGGGGCGGAGCAGCCCTCCTGGAATGTTCCTTGCCCATCCTGCGTCCAGCACTGACCATGCTCTCCAGATGTGGTGGGGCTTCTGTCACAGCCCCGTTCCTGAGAGCATTGCAGGGAGGAGGTTCTGTGTCCTGCAGTGGCCTCTGGCCTCGCTGGGAAGGACAAGAAGTGAGGGTGAGCACCCAGTTGCCAGCAGCAAAGTAACTCTCATGCGTGTTGCACGGTTGATTCCCTGGAGGACGGGGAAGGCAGGCCTGGGCCAGGAGTGGGCGTCAGTAGTGGCGTGAGTGAATGAGGCAGTCAGTGACTCGGAGTCCAGACGACCTACCTGTGCAGCCAGGGAGTCTGCCAGGGCTGCTGCTGGGAGCCCCTCCTCCCTGGGCAGTACCCATGGCAACTTGTGGGAGGCTGCAGGGGGGTTAGGGACCCCTCACTGCTCAAAGCCTTGTACAGAGACCAGGACCAGCCACTTCCACACCCCATAAAAGATCCAGGTCCGCACCTCGACTGGCTTGGAGGAGACCTGGGAGGGATTCCTGTGTCAGTGTCAGCTGGAGGCCGCATGACAGTGGAGACCTGCTAGATGGGACACAGCATGTCTCGCGTCTCTGACCCGCGCTGTGCAGCCTGGAGCTGTAGGCCTCTGACATGTGCAGCTTAGGCTCTTCCCTCTGCCCTGGCTGCCCCCACTCGGCCTGCAGGCCGGCGGAGCGGCCTGCCTCCCAAATGCCGCTGCCGGTGATCACTGGCTAGCGGAGCTCAGAGGGCCGGGTGGAGCAGGGAAGAGGGTCCTGCCCCAGCTGACTGACCCGCTATCCCTTCCCCCACTCCCTGCGTGCCTGGGGCTCCATGACCACTAACAGGCATCCTTCTCCTTGCAGAGAGCGCTGTCGAGGAAGTGGGGCTCCTGCAGCTCCTCAGGGAGCCCCTGCCCCCGCAGATCACCCCCATCGAGGACCCTGACGTGGGGCCCGCTTATGACTTTGGACCGGGCGCCAACAGTGGACAGGGCGCGCAGAGCCACTTCCCCAGACTCTTCTTCCGAGACTTCTCGCTGCTGTTCCACATCCGGCCGGCCACGGCGGGCCCGGGCGTGCTGCTCGCCATCACGGACGCGGCGCAGGCCCTGGTGTCGCTGGGCGTGAAGCTGTCAGAGGTGCAGGGTGGGTACCAGAACGTCTCCCTGCTCTACACTGAGCCAGGCGCTGCGCAGACCCACGTGGCTGCAAGCTTCCGCCTGCCCGCACTTGTCGGCCGGTGGACTCGCTTTGCGCTCAGCGTGGACGGTGGCACTGTGGCTCTCTACTTGGACTGCGACGAGTTTCAGAGGGTGCCATTTGCAAGGTCGTTGCCAGGCCTGGAGCTGGAGCACGGAGCTGGCCTATTCCTGGGTCAGGCTGGGGGAGCAGACGCTGACAAGTTCCAGGTAACCCTGTGCCATCCCGTGTGCTGGGCCGGCCTGGGCGGAGTGGGGGAAGGGCCGTCCACCCAGGACAGAGGATGGCAGGCACCCCCAGCCATGCTCCAGCCTGGGGAGCAGAGCCCCCAGTGCAGGGCATGTGGTCTCTATGCCCAGGTGGTGTGTTTTTCCTGGCACTCTGGCCCCTTTGGAGCCCTGAAAGTCACCCTATGCTTCTGAGGTTTCTCTGGGGACCCTGGCTCCCCGGGAAAACCCTTCAGCCATCTTATTACTGGGTTTCCAGCCTGCCATGGTCAGCTTGTGCCCCAGTGTGTGCTGTGTTCCATCCAGGCTGCTACTGAGCTGCAAAATGAAGGCTCAGGACCCCGTGAAAACAAGCCAGCAAGCCAGGGGTGGTGGTTCATACAAGTAACCCAGCTCTAGGAGGCTGAGGCAGGAAGATCATAATTTTGAGGCCATCATGGACTGTCTCAAAAACATAGAAAAACATAAAAACCCAAACCAAAGATATGATCAATAATTTAAAGCCAGGTAACCAAACAAGGCACTTAGGCAGGAATTGCCCACCTGGGGCCAGTCCCTCACACAGTGACCAGGCCCCAGACAGCCACAACAGGCTGATGATTGTCTTTAACACAGGCTACAGGGGCACAATGACATGGGACTTGGTCCAGAGCAACCTGGGCTAGCCTTGCCCGTGATGGGTGACAGCTGTGTGGCCTCCTGTGCCCCAGGAAAGTTCCTGGTGACCCCCTTGCTCTGTAGGCTGTGGGGCCTTTTCCCAGAGCCCCTCGCTGGAGCCCCAGCCTTCTGGGAACAAAGCGTGGGTGCCTGGCCTGTGGTGACTCAGGGCCTGTGAATTCCAGCACACCAGCTGTTGGAGCTGGGGCACCCGGGTGTGGGGCCAGACAGGGGTCCCTGTGTGTGGTGGCAAGGACGTGTCTGCGGGGGACAGACTGTCAATTGTGACCCAGACAAGGCCTGCTGTGTGAAGTTGTCCCAGCCCTGCTGTCCGTGCTCTGACCTTCCACCTTTGGAGGGAACACATAGCTCTCTGGGTTCAAGAGACACCAAACCGAGCCCCTTTCTGTTTTCCTTTTGATCCTCAAACATGATGGCTGCAACATCTGAGAGCAACGTCCTCTCTGATGAGGGGTTGGGGCAACCACCGGGCATCTCCAGTCAATGGAGGAGCCCCGGGGTCTGCGTGTCTCCTGCTGTCATGGGAAACCTGAGCCTGGGTTGCTGGGCGTTGGGCCACGAAGTGCCCGGTTGGCCTGATGGTGCAAACAGAGCATGGGCCTGCGGCCCAGCTGCCTGCGGCCAGGCAGCTGCCCCAGGGCTGGCCGGGGCTGTGTTGGGCACGCAGCCAGCTAGAGACAGGTAGATGGTACCCAGGTGTTTTGATTAGCATTTCAGAAGATAAACTTTCTTTTTCTGTTTGTTGGCTATTTGCATTGTATGTTCTTACATAAATGGGCTCAGCCATTTTTTATTGGTATATATAAACTCTATGTTTGAAAGAAACTGATCTTGGGTTTTGTATACTGAAAATGTTACTTTGCTTAGCCAGATGCCAGTGGCTCACACTTGTAATCCTAGCTACTCTGAGGATCGCAGTTCAAAGCCAGCATAGGCTGGAAAGTCTATAAGACTCTTCATTTCCAGTTTATCACACAAAAACCAGAAGTGGAGCTGTGGCTTAAGGGTAGAGCATCAGCCTTGAGTAGCAAAGAACTAAGGAACAGCACCCAGACACAAAATTTTTATTTCTCAGTTTGTCATTTTCCTTTTTACCTTTTATATTGGGAAGTTTCAAGTGTTTATGTGGTTAAATCAGGTAGAAACCCTATGGCTTTGGGTTGGCAGACTCTTTCCCAGGTAGAAAGGTAAGAATGGGGCGTTTCTGGGCCCTGGAGGCATGTCAGGGCCCTGGCCTGGCCAGGCTGGCCCCGGGACATCTCTGGGACAGGCTCCATGGCACAGGCTCCCCTGCGGGTCACTGGAGAGTTTCCACAGGAGTGGAAGCCCTGGGAGGCAATCACCAGCTGCTGTGATTTGTGAGGCTGGTGCCAGGGGGTGCTGGGGTCCTCCGAGCCCTCCATGACTGCAGGCCTCTCTGACGGCTCCAGTACGCGTGTTTGTTCCCTGCTGTTTGGTTCTTTTCCGGCTTTCCCCTAAGATGCAGCCTGGCCTGGAATTTACAGCTCCTGCCTCTGTAATCCCTAATTATGGGGTTACAGGTATGAGCCACCATGCGTGTCCCTAAAGAAAGAAAACTTTGGGTATCTTTGGTCTTTTCTGAATTGTTCCTTGGGTATTTCCGAAGGCTTTTCAGTCCACTTTGGCTGTCAGTGCTGCCATAAAACACGGATCTCAGAACTCTCCAGAACTCTTCTCTTTCCACGTGCTCTGTACTTGGATCTTTCCACTCTATTGCTCCTGATGGATGTGGCTCTCCTTGTTCCTTCCACCAAACATATCCACCCCAGCCTCCTGTCCCTCCTGCCATGCCAGCCCCCCCTTACCACCCCCATACCAGCCTCCTGTTCCTCCTACCACCCCATCCTCCTACCCCTCCTGACCAGGGCAGGATGTGACATGAGGGTCCAGTGCTCTTTGGTCACCTGCCCTCTATGCCCCTGTTTCATTACCAGCACTATGAGCACATTTTATACTGAGCTAAAATGGCCTTCTCTGGGTGCATCCTAGGCACAATGTCACCACAAGTGTATCGCTTTCTTGCTGAAACACATGGATGAGCTGAAGAGTATTATGTGCAGTGATGTCAGCAGGGGCTGAGACTGAAGGGAAATGGCGCTGGGGCAGGCACCAGGCAGGAAGAGGTCATTGCGGCTCAGAAATAAGTGTCAGAGCTGGTCATAGGGAAGCTGGAGCTGTGCCAGCCATGGGGGCTGAGAACAGAGGAGGGCAGGACTCAGCCTTGAGTGGGCAGGAGAGAGGCAATCACAGGGAAGCTGGAGCCCTGCTGGCCATGGGGCCTGAAGACAGAGGAGGGCAGGACTTAACCTCATGTGGGCAGGAGAGAGGCAGTCACAGGGAAGCTGGAGCTGTGACGGCCACGGGGGGGGGGTGCCTGAGGACAGAGGAGGGCAGGACTCAGCATTGAGTGGGCAGTCACAGGGAAGCTGGAGCCCTGCTGGCCACGGGGCCTGAGGATTGAGGAGGGCAGGACTCAGCCTCAAGTGGGCAGGAGAGAGGCAGTCCCAGGGAAACTGGAGCCATGCCGGCCACGGTTGCTGAGGACAGAGGAGGGCAGGACTCAGCCTCATGTGCACAGGAGAGAGGCAGTCACAGGGAAGCTGGAGCTGTGCCGGCCACAAAGGCTGAGAACGGAAGAGGGCAGGATTCAGCCTAAAGTGAGCAGGAGAGGCTGTCACAGGGAAACTGGAGCAATGCCGGCCATGGTTGCTGAGGAAGTAGGAGAGCGGACTCAGCCTTGAGTGGGCAGAAGAGAGGCAGTCACAGGAAAGCTGGAGCTGTGCCTGCCAGAGGGGCTGAGAACGGAGCAGGGCAGGACTCAGCCTCAAGTGGGCAGAAGAGAGGCAATCACAGGGAAGCTGGAGCCATGACTGCCACAGGCACTGATGACAGAGGAAGCCAGGACTCAGCCTTGAGTGGGCAGGAGAGAGGCTGTCACAGGCAAGCAGGAGCCCTGTTGGCTACGGGGGGGGGGGGGGCTGAAGACAGAGGAGGGCAGGACTCAGCCTCATGTGGGCAGGAGAGAGGCAGTCACAGGGAAGCTGGAGCCTTGATGGCCACGGGGGGTTGAGGATGGAGGAGGGCAGTCCTCAGCCTCGAGAGAGGCAGTAAGGGAGAAGCTGGAGCCAAGCTGGCCACAGGGGGCTGAGGACAGAGGAGGGAAGAATTCAGCCTTGAGTGGGCAGGAGAGAGGCTGTTACAGGGAAGCTGGATTTGTGCCGGCCCCATTGGGTTGAGGGCAGAGGAGGTCAGGACTCAGCCTCATGTAGGCAGGAGAGAAGCTGTCATGGGGAAGCTAGAGCCATGCTGGCTACTGTGGCTGAGAATGGAGGAGGGCAGTACTCAGCCTCAAGTGGGCAGGAGAGAGGCAGTCACAGGGAAGCTTCAGCCATGCGGGCCAGAGGGGGCCGAGGACAGCAGAGGGCAGGACTCAGCCTCAAGTGGGCAGGAGAGGCAGTCATAGGGAAGCTGGAGCAGTGACTACCATGGGGCCTGAGGACGGAGAAGGGCAGGACTCAGCCTTGAGTGGCCAGGAGAGAGGCAGTCAAAGGCAAGCTGGAGCCGTTCTAGCTTCAGGGGCTGAGGACAGAAGAGGGCAGGACTCAGCCTCATGTGGGCAGAAGAGAAGCTGTCAGGGGGGAAGCTAGAGCCATACTGGCCACAGGGGCTGAGAAAGGAGGAGGGCAGGATTCAGCCTCACGTGGGTACGAGAGAGGCAATCACGGGGAAGCTAGAGCCATGCCGGCCACAGGGGTGAGGATGGAGGAGGGCAGGACTCAGCCTCCAGTGGGCTGGAGAGAGGCTGTCATGGGGAAGCTGGGGCCCTGCTGGCCACGGGGGCTGAGGACAGATGAGGGCAGGACTCAACCTCGAGAGAGGCAGTCAGGGGGAAACTGGAGCAATGCCGGCCACGATGGCTGAGGACAGAGAAGGGCAGTACTCATCCTCGAGTGGGCAGGACAGAGGCAGTCACAGGGAAGCTGGAGACCCGCTAGTCATGGAGGGTGAGGATGGAGGGTAGGACTCAGCCTTGAGTGGGCTGGAGAGAGGCAGTCACAGGGAAGCTGGAGCCCTGCTGTCCATGGCGCCTGAGGACGGTGGAGGGCAGGACTTAGCCTTCAGTAGCCAGGAGAGAGGCAGTCACAGGGAAGCTGGAGCTGTGCCGGCCACAGGGGCTGATAACAGAGAAGGCCAGGACTCATCCTAGAGTGGGCAGGAGAGAGGCAGTGACAAGGAAGCTGGAGGCCTGTTGGCCACGGGGCCTGAGAACAGTGGAGGGCAGG